TCGGACGAGTCGATTTTCCAAGTATTGGTCGACAAATCGCAGTTTGTACGACGAAGGACAAATGAGAAATATAAGCCAGAATGCATTGTGCCGACCATTAAACATCCTCCTTCGGTAATGGTATGGTCAGTTATCAGTTATAAGGGACAAGGGGCCTTATACGTTGTCGATGGTACAATGAATGCCGAAAAATATCAGGAAGTTTTGGAAACCCAGCTGCTCCCTCAAGTGAAAAAATGGTTCAACGAACGAGAAAAGCCAATTTTTATGCATGATGGTGCGCCTTGCCATCGTGCACAAAAAATTACAATTTTTTAGCTGAAAAAAAAAGTAGATATTCTCGACTGGCCAGGAAATTCGCCTGACATGAACCCCATCGAGAACGTCTGGGAGTTTTTGAAATCTGAGGTTACGATGAAAGCCCCTACAATCAAGCAAGAGTTGATCAATATACTTAATGACACTTGGAAACATAACCCAGAGCTCAAAATAAAAATTCAAAACTGTATAAGCAGTATGCCACGTCGCGTTGAAGCTGTGTTGGCTGCGAAAGGTGGTCATACAAAATACTGATTTTTGCAAAAAAATGTATTTTCATGTGAAAAGAGTCCATTTTCATGTAAATTTCTAATTTTCTATGTGACATTTGTTGTATTTATAATAAATTTTGATGTTTCATCATGGATAAGCTTTGTAAATGTCTACTGGCGTGTTATAAGCCAGGAAAACTTCATTTTTAAGCATGAGTCCAATAATATGGCAAGGGACTGTAGTAGCAAAAAAGTGTTAATCATGCCCTTGTATCGCTATGTAGCTGTAGTTTGATGCTGTCGGGGGACAATTTATCGCCGAATAAGGTCTTTTGGACTGTTTTCATACGTCAAATTCAGATGACCTGGGATACAATACACCAAGAAGATATCAATCACCTGATCCAATCAATGCCGCGACGACTTAACGAACGTGTAGCGAACAGATGAGCTTCAACACATTATCAACATTAAGGTGGAATATATTAGTTATTTTGCGAAATTTTGAGTTAAAATTTGAATCACTTTCTATTTATCAGTAGACCTAATACTTGTACAAGTCTGCAAAAAATTACAGCATTGTGTTGCATTTTCTATGCCGTTTAGTATATATCCATGCATCTAGTTAATATACTAAGTGACATATAAATCCGAACACCCAGTTTAAATGGTTTTATTTTAATAAAATTTTGTATAAGTACTTAATGAAGCATAATAAGTAAATAATAAAAATTTCAAAATGATTGCACTGCTTTAAAGCCCTTTGACCTTTAATAATGTGTGGATGCACCCTGATGTGCTACGCATTCTCCAACGCGCCTAGGCATGCTTCTGATCAGGTGGTCAATGTCCTCCTGTGGTATCTCATTCCAGGCAACTACCAACTCATCTCGAAGTGCTTCTAGAGTCTGAGGAGGACGTTGCAAATTGAGCAATCTCCTACCCATCATATCCCACACGTGCTCAATTGGGGATAAGTTGGGAGATCTTGGTGGCCATGGTAACAATGTGACATTATTATGTTGAAAGAAGTCTATTGTGACTCTTGCAACATGTGGTCGGGCATTATCGTGTTGGAAAGTTGGATCTGCCAGGGTGTCAAGAAAGGGTAAAAGATGGGGTTCTAGAACTTCGTGGATATAACGCTGCGCGTTCATGTTACCTCTGATGAAGATTAAAGGTGACCTGGAACCATACGCTATAGCACCCCAATCCATAACTCCAACAGTGTGATGAACATGTCTTTCAACAAAAAACTGTGGATTCCTCCTTTCACCACGTCGCCTTCTAACCCTGGCACGTCCATCGTGCATGCCTAAACAAAATCGAGACTCGTCACTAAAGACAATACTGTTCCATTCCTGATCCCAGAGTGACCGTTGTCTGCACCACTCAAGGCGATTATGGTCTTCCGTGTTCTGCAAACCATTCATTTGCAATGGACCTGGTAGTGGATAAACGGTCCCTTAAGGCCAATAATCTTAGGCGGCGATCTTTACGGTCTGTTGTTCTACGGCGGCGTCCAGTGCCCCTTGCTCTTTGCGTACGGCCTTCTCGAAGCCATGCCTGACAACACCTAACCACAGTGTCTACACTTCTTTGCACTCTAACTGCAATTGCCCGAAAAGAAAGTCCAGCTTCTTGAAGTCCCACTATACGGCCCCTATCAAACTCACTAAGTTGACGAAATCGTACAGGTCTCCGTACTCTAGGCATCGTAACCGATCGTAAAGGATGTCAAGAACCAAAATCCGCCAACGTTGATTCTTTACTGCGGCTGAAATATTCATTTTTAGAGCGTTAGTGAATTAAAAAAAAGCAGTATAAAAACCGGAATATCCAACTGATAAGGCTGAAAATTTTTCACTTGTTATTTACAGGAAGATAAATACATTCACCAACTTTTATTAAAATAAAATCATTTAAACTGGGTGTTCGGATTTATATGTCACTTAGTATAATAATAATAATAATATTTATTCACTCAATGTACAAAGATAACAAACAATATGAGTAAATAAATATAAAATCAAAACAGGCCCAATAGAAGGCATCGCCTGTACATGGACCAATAATTTAAGTTGAAACTGTAGAATGCAAATGACAAAAAAGGACAAAAATTAGCTACAGTAGATTATGTAGTTAGTTGATGTTCGTATTTATGAGTTTATGAATTTAAGTCCTAGATATAGAATGTAGCCACTTTTTTAAATTTCTTTTGAAACAATTTCCGAAACGTAAATCTTTTAAGTCTTTAGGTATAATTTTATAAAATTTAGGCGCTAAATAGAGATATGATCGCTGCAGTATAGATTTATGCGGCTGAGGAACTACTGTGCCACGAATTTTGTACCTGGTATAATGACTATTTTTAATTTTTTGGTCGGTGTTTACAAATTTATGGTAGTGAGTGATACTGTGTAAGAAATAAAGCTGTCTTATATCATACATTCGAACATCTGCGTATAATTTTTCAGTAGGATAAAGTTTCGGTTTTTTAAATATCATTTTTAGAATACTTTTTTGAAAAACATCTACATTATAGATATGTGAGGAACATGCAGCTCCCCATGCTAATATACCATATGTGAGGTGAGGCTCAATCAGTGCATGGTATAATGTTCGAAGATATTTTTCTGTCAATATATTCCCAAGGTATTTAATTTTGTAGGATACAAATCTAACTTTCTTTAAAATATAATTGACATGGATGTCCCATCGTAAGTGAGGATCCAAGACCACTCCAAGGTATTTTATGTTGGGCACTCTATTAATTTGCATTTTTTGATCATTAATGTTGAAGGAGAAATTTGTGTAATTTGGTAGATGTCTAGCATAAGATCCAAATTGTAAAAAATGTGTTTTAGAGTAGTTAATGCTTAATTTTCTACTGTTAAACCACCGAATAATTTTGATAAAATCATTTTCAATTACATTTTTCAGATCAGACCAGTCAGTACCTTCATATAATATTGCAGTATCATCTGCAAAACTAGTTATTTTGCCAACACAATTAATTTGGAAAATATCATTTAAATATATATTGAATAACAGCGGACCTAAGACAGTTCCTTGTGGGACACCACACTTAATATACATTTCTTTACTAAATGATCCTGATATCTGCACAGATTGTGGGCGATTTGACAAATAATTTTCGATCAGTGAGTACGCGTTTCCTCTGAAACCAATTCTCTCCAATGCTTCTAATAATAATTTGTGATTAACTGTGTCGAAAGCTTTATTCAAATCAACAAAAATGCAGATTTAAGGGATTCCGTTATCAATATTTTGATGTATTTGATTTACAATTTTAGTTATTGCGTCCGATGTAGCCTTCCCTTCTGTAAATCCATATTGATTTTCACTTAAAATTTTGAATTTTGTGAGGTATCGAATCATTCTAGTAGATAAAACTTTTTCAAAAGCCTTTGCTACACTGGATATTATTGATATTGGTCTATGGTTGTTAACATCTGTTTTTGTTCCTGATTTATGTATCGGTATTATATTACCTTTTTTTAAAATTGAGGGATATATGCCAGATTCAAAGCATTTGTTGATTAGGTAAGTGAGTGGTTCTGTTATGTCCTCGGCTATAATTTTCAAATGCTCGCTTTTAATACCATCGAACCCAGGACTTTTCCGATTTTTTAAGGACATAACAGTGGTGTATACTTCACATTGCTCGACTTTATCCAAAATAAATGAGTTCAAAGTTCTTTTTGGAGGCTGAGTATTTTGTACATTTGCTTGTATATTACTTGCTAAATTTTCGCCTATGTTAGTAAAGAATTGTACAAATTCATCGCATATCTGTTGAGTATTTTTTAATACTGTTCCCGATGTTGTATTTAACTCAGTGACACACTCTTTAAATTTTGTTTTCCCAGTAATCTCATCAATAGTTGTCCAAAGCCGCTTGGGATCATTTAAGTTATTATTCAATTTATTTAGGTAATGTTTTCGTTTGGTTTGCCTTGCAAGCTCTATAAATTTATTTTTATATTGGTTGTAGCAGTCGGTATTCTCTGTAGTTGGCGTTAGTTTCATTACATTATATAGTCTTTCTTTTTCTATTGCCCATGTTATTAATCCTTTGGTAATCCAGGAATTTCTGCTTTTCTCTTTGTGACTAATTATTACTTTATTGGTACTAATATCTATTAGTTTTTTTTATTTTCTCTATGAACAGTCCCGTTGCTTTGTCTATATTATTTATAGAGTATAATTGTTCCCAGGATTCTTGTTTGACATTTGATACTAGTTTTGAATTGTATAGATTCACAAATGACAAGATTACCTCATGCGACGTTTTAAAATATGAACGCGATCACAAAATTTGATATATGCGCTCTTCAAAGAGTATCGATGTAATATTTTTATTTTATCGTAATACGTTGCGATGCCCATTTTACGAAAAACAGCATGAATAGTGGGTATTGACAACCGACCAGTCAATCGCAAATAGTGCTGGCCAACAGTAGCATCACCTTTGAACCTTTGAACCAGGTGCTTTCCATATATAATATTTTCAATTGTATGCAAATCGGGAAATCGTACTGGCGACTTTGACATTCGTTCGGTTGTGGTGTCGCGCCCTTGCCGGCCGTTAGGTGTGCGGTGTTGATTTGCTTGTGTCCGTCTTGTTGGCTAACCGGGAATATGTTGGGTGTACGGAGGAACCGAAACGGGCTCGACAGAAAGAAGAAAGGTAAGTAATAAACATTGACATTCTTAAAAAAATCTTCCGTCAGATTTCCAAAAAGTTTCATTAGGGAGTTCGCCAGATTTGCAGAAACGGGTGAAAAATATATAGTATATAGAAAATGATTTAAGAACTGGAATTTTTTACAAACCAATCACGAATATAAAAATTGAATAGCAATTGTCACGATCTCAGCTTCAAACGCAATTGGTCTCCACTGCAAGAAACAGCCAAGTCTAGTTTTTAATCAAATCAACGATGTGTTTGCGTAGTCTTAGGAACTCAATCATTCGGTAAGAAAAGAAAAGCTATGACATTATGAAAAATACAAATGTGAAAAAATCTATGCCCTTTTCCTCGTATTTTTTACATGGAAGCAGTCGCGCAGGCAGAAGCCTAAATGCCAGGACACCGCAGCTGCTATGAGGATCCCGACGAAACTTTCTTAATTCAATTTTTGAATTGCCTAAGGTTATTAGAATCGGTAAAAGCATCCACAATCTCCAGACCCTAGGGACAAGGGCGCGGCCTTATCGTCCAGTTCTGGATGCAAAGCCTGTAGATCGCGGACGGACCTTGTACAGAGTGAGGAGGTCATCGGAAGAAAAGTATTTCTTAGCGATAAACAAATGACGATGAGCGCTAGGACGCTTCTTCTTCGTCAAGGTACAGTCCTGTGTTTTTGAAGCATTTAACTGTACCAGATTGTTGAGTCCCCAGATAGTGATAACCTCCAGGTCTTTCGTCAGAGAGGGTGTCGCTGCTGGTCTTTATTTCTCCAGATCCCAGCAGAGATCGGCTTGCCGCTCTGAATTCCTGCATGTAGAGTGTTGTCATCAGCGAATCTGTGGATTGGGTTGATCGTGCAGGAAAAAAAGTCGTTGATATGTAAGAGAAACAGTGTCGGAGCCAAGACCGATTCCTGGGGAACACCCGCGTTGACGTTGTGGGATGAAGAGGAGAACAGGTCAATTACGACGGATATCTTGCGGCCAGAGATAAAGTCAGCCACCCATCTGCAAAGGTTTTCTGGGAGGCCATATGATGGAAGTTTGCTTAAGAGAGCAGCGTGCCACAGCTGATCGAACGCTTTCGTGATGTCAAGAGCAACGACATGAGCCTCACCATAAGACTGGATGAGTTTACTCCACAATTGCGTGACGGAAGCTAGGAGGCCCCCTGTGGATCCTTGGTGCCGGAAACCATACTGCCTGTCACTAATCGAGCAGTGACGTTCAAGGTCATCCAGAAGCTCCCAATTTATGCAGATCTCTATCACCATGTAATTGGTTTCCCAATGTTTTGTGAGTTTTTAGGCTTGTTGGAAGAGGAGAGTGAGTCAAAAATTTCAACTTTCATTTCTGTACGTTTCTAAACCACTTTAATGTAGTATTTTGGAGTACATATGTGTAAAATTAATTCACTAATTAAATAAACATTGGGAGGTCGGGTGGTTAGCACGTCGAACTACTAATTGGCTCAGACAAAGCTCGCGGGTTCAAATCTACGCCTCAGGAGTTGATTCCTTGCCACGGATGCTGCTTTATTAAATAACCAGACACCGGTAGATAGCTTGTGGAGTGTAGGTACTATGGAGTCGACAAAAAGGTGTCAAATATAGAATAGTTGCAAGACAAATAAACATGGACCAAATTATTATGTCTATCTGTTGTTCCCTTCAAAACGTAACTCTTTAAAAAAGGAAGATAAGTAGAATTGATGACTACTCAGCCTGGAATTGCCTTCTTGAGCATTTTGGAATCGTGTACTATTATGATATAATATCAGAATAGTCTTCATGTATACTAAGTGACATATAAATCCGAACACCCAGTTTAAATGGTTTTATTTTAATAAAATTTTGTATGAGTACTTAATGAAGCATAATAAGTAAATGATAAAAATTTCAAAATGATTCCACTGCTTTAAAGCCCTTTGACCTTTAATAATGTGTGGATGCACCCTGATGTGCTACGCATTTTCCAACGCGCCTAGGCATGCTTCTGATCAGGTGGTCAATGTCCTCCTGTGGTATCTCATTCCAGGCAACCACCAACTCCTCTCGAAGTGCTTCTAGAGTCTGAGGAGGACGTTGCAAATTGAGCAATCTCCTACCCATCATATCCCACACGTGCTCAATGGGGGATAAGTCAGGAGATCTTGGTGGTCATGGCAACAATGTGACATCATTATGTTGAAAGAAGTCTATTGTGACTCTTGCAACATATGGTCGGGCATTATCTTGTTGGAAAGTTGGATCTGCCAGGGTGTCAAGATAGGGTAAAAGATGGGGTTCTAGAACTTCGTGTATATAACGCTGCGCGTTCATGTTACCTCTGATGAAGATTAAAGGTGACCTGGAACCATAAGCTATAGCACCCCAAACCATAACTCCAACAGTGTGATGAACATGTCTTTCAACAAAAAACTGTGGATTCCTCCTTTCACCACGTCGCCTTCTAACCCTGGCACGACCATCGTGCATGCCTAAACAAAATCAAGACTCGTCACTAAAGACAATACTGTTCCATTCCTGATCCCAGAGTGACCGTTGTCTGCACCACTCAAGGCGATTACGTCGGTGTTCTCGAGTTAAAGGGAGGACCCAGTGTGGCCGGTATGAAAACAAGCCAAAACTTCTCATTCGTCGGTAAACACTTCGCATGCCAATAGGTCTTCCGTGTTCTGCAAACCATTCATTTGCAATGGACCTGGTAGTGGGGAAACGGTCCCTTAAGGCCAATAATCTTAGGCGGCGATCTTCACGGTCTGTTGTTCTACGGCGGCGTCCAGTGCCCCTTGCTCTTTGCGTACGGCCTTCTCGAAACCATGCCTGACAACACCTAACCACAGTGTCTACACTTCTTTGCACTCTAACTGCAATTGCCCGAAAAGAAAGTCCAGCTTCCCGAAGTCCCACTATACGGCCCCTATCAAACTCACTAAGTTGACGAAATGGTACAGGTCTCCGTGCTCTCGGCATCGTAACCGATCGTAAAGGATGTCAAGAACCAAAATCCGCCAACGTTGATTCTTTACTGCGGCTGAAATATTCATTTTTTAGAGCGTTAGTGAATTAAAAAAAGCAGGATAAAAACCGGAATGTCCAACTGATAAGGCTGAAATTTTTTTCACTTGTTATTTACAGTAAGATAAATACATTCACCAACTTTTATTAAAATAAAACCATTTAAACTGGGTGTTCGGATTTATATGTCACTTAGTATAATTTAAGGATTATAAGTAGTTGATAACCAGTAAAGTACAATCACACATTAGAAATAACTTGATCACTTTGCTGTCTGATTATAGATAATGATAAAAATAATGGTCACAACTAAATCGGCATGTCTTTTTGTGATAATTTCGTGTTTATGAATGTTAGGCATTCAGGAAAGTTCTGTCCGTTGTTTAGGTTAAAACAAAATAAGGCAATTTAATTTTTTTTCCAGTCAAGAGAGAATCCAATCCGATAGCTAGCTATGAAACATCATACAGGGAATCCATCGATCAGCCAGAGAGATTCTGGGCGAAAGTAGCACAGATGATAACTTGGGCGAAGCCATGGAAAAGAGTACTGGATAACTCGTTTGAACCTTTCACAAAATGGTACGTTTATTTTGTTAGCTTATCAATTCTATTCTAATAATTTGTGATTGTAATAAATGTAGACATGATATGTTTAGTATAACAAGAGTGCTGGAACAAAACAATTTTTTTGCAATGCTAGCCTTAACCTCGGACTTTATAACACTTTTAATATCCTAGTTAATATCATAATTGTTTAAGAGCGAAAAAATATAGTCGTAACCACATAACAACAGTTGTTCCGGTGTTTTTCACACTTTTGTCTCTTTACAATTAACAATAGTCTGCCTGCATTTCAAATAGTGATACCACTATGCACTTTTAATACAAAGGAGTCAAAGTTGAGTATGACAAAACAAAATTGGCATCTCAAACAATAAACACTTATTGGCAATGAAAAACATTTTTTCCAGCATTAAGATAGTCACACATGAATCAAGGACACGTCTAGGTGGACAAGTGTATACTTTATCTGAAGTCACTTGAAACACTGTGAAATACCGGGTGCGTTTTATATATCTATATTTAACACGCTCTGTTGCTGCAAAAATCGCCAAATTTCGCAGCAAATATCCCCCCCCCCCCCCCCCCGTATAAGATCAAAGGCAGTTTCACCGGTCCACGTGGAGTAAAGCACGCCTATGCGTGGACATAGCCAATGAGAAAGCGTGTATTTCAGAGCTCCGAAAAAGTGCAGGTGGCTACTGAAAATTGAAACAGTTTAGCCAGTGCCGTGTAGCGGTGAATAAACGTGTTTTCTTTAGTCTGTCCGTGTTTTTTCATAGATTTTATTAGTTTGTTAGTTTTTGACTTTTGAATACTCAGTTTACGTGTTGATTGTTCTTGTGTGTCCTAAATATGGCTCTTTGGAGACCTTGGGAAAATGCTCCAAGCCACGAGGAGTTGGTTGATGAACCTGTGCAGGCAGAATTCTTTCATAAAGATTTAGAGGAACAGACCCAAAGAGTAATCCTAAATATGTATGATTGTTTGAAAAACGAAAATCCAGATTCCTCGCAAAATCAAATTTTAAACAGAATTTGTATCCTGACAAAAATCAGTCGGTCTACCATTTATCGGGGTATAAAAAGGGGAGATGTAGTCAACCATTCCTTCCACAGAAAGCGCATAGGGCCAAAATTAAAAGAATAGACGTGAGGTTTCAGGAAGATATTCGTCGTATAATATACGGATTTTATAAAGAAAATTTGGTGCCCACGTTGGAAATGATACGGGATAAATTAAAAGATTATCCTGAAGATTTTTATAATTACAAATGCTTAGACTCGCTGCACTGTATTGTAAAACTGTGTGGTTTTCAATACAAAAAATTAGATAAAAGAATGGTGATTATGGAGTCGTCTCGAATCGTTGAATTGCGCCAAGAATTTTTGCACAAAGTTAAAATCTAGAGAGAGCAGAAAAGAAATCTGATTTACCTGGATGAAACGTGGTATGATACCCATGATGTTGTGCAGTACGGCTGGGTTGACGACAGCAACAAGTGCATTTTAAATGCACCATGCAACCGTGGAAAACGAATCATTATTCTCCATGCTGGCAGTGAAAATGGATTTATACCTAATGCCTTGCTGTTATCTGCCAAAAATATCAAAGAATCATGTGCCGACTATCATGAGGACATGACCTCCGACTTATTTGAAAAATGGATAGAGCAGCAGTTAATACCAAACATTTCCCCAAATTCAGTGATTATTATGGACAATGTGCCATACCATTCCCGACAGAAAAACAAAATTCCGAATACAGGCACAAAAAACCAAGACATTATTGATTTTATGCAGGATAAGGGAATGGAAATACCACAAAAATCAATTATTGGATATTATTAAAAGACAAAAATTTGAAAAAGAGTATGTTGTTGACAATCTGCTTCAGCAAAATGGCCATGAAGTATTACGTCTACCTCCCTATTACTGCATTTTTAACCCGATTGAGTTGGTCTGGGCTGCTTTAAAAAAAAAGTAAGAAAACATAATCAGACCCTTCAATTAAGTGAATCGCTATTGGCCACAATAAGAGATGCAGTATCTCATATTGCTGCCACAGACCTATGGAAGCAGTGTTCTAGGCATATTATTGAAAAAGAAAATGAATATTGTGTTTTGCCTCCTGTAAATCCCGTTGTAATTCCTCTACAAGATGACTCTAGCGACAGCTCCGAAGGCGAGGATGATATATAAATACCTATAATGTAAGTCTTTATATACCTACCTGCTATGTAAATATTTGCCTATGTCAAACGTTGGAATTCTGTAATTTTTCCATTTCTTAACTTTCAGTCAACATAAATTAAACTCCCAATATAAGTATTTTTTATCCCAAATCAAAAAAATAAGAAGATAGTAGAATCCATTTATTGTGATATAAAAACATTATTATTATCGTTCTAAATAAATCACCGCACGCCTATGATACGTCATGAAATTACAAAGGACGCGCCGACCAAAGGTTTTTATGCTATTTCAAGTGACTTCAGATATACCATACTTACAGAGTTAGATTTTACCTCAAACTATCTTTTATTCTTGTAATCACGCTTGAACCGCAAGGTATGTTTGTTGTACGTGGCAACGTGGTCAACTGTAGTAACATTACATATAACTTGGTGATTTTAATCTTCCACATTGTCAATGGTCTAAGAAAAATATGGCCTCTACTGCTGTTCCTCTGACAAGGGTTTCATCATCTGAAGCTGAATCAATACAGGTCCTTTCTTAGTTGTGTTCATACCATAACCTTTACCAAGTGAATTTTATTAGAAATGAAAATAACAAATTACTGGATCTGATTTTGATGCAAGACGAAACAACTACGGTACATGCAGCTGAGGAAGCACTTTTACCAGTAGACACTCATCATCCACCACTGTATTTTGAGCTAAATTGTGAAACTTGCCTTAATAACTCTGGGCTTACTAGTAGTGGTTTTTACAGAGATTTTAAATCCACAAAATATGCAGGGAGTGATAGCATTTCTCTCCAGTTTTAATTGGGACATACTGCTTATGAATAAATCACTTGGTGATATGCTTAATATGTTTTATGATGTAATATATTTAACAACTGATATCTTTGCTCCTTTGAAGAAGTACTCTGCAAAGAAATTTCTCATTTGGTTTTCTCCAGAACTTAAACAAATGATAATTGAAAAAAGCAACTACACAAGAAGTACATCAAATCTCTTTGCTAAATGATTGTCATGAGTTTTCTATTCTCAGAATTCAGTGTAAAAATTTAATAAAAAAACAGTGTTATCTGGACTATGTCAATACAACTGAATCTTCTCTTAGAGAAAACGTGAACAATTTTTGAAAATTTGTAAAGATTATCATTACATACCTTCAAAAGTACATTATAATAATGTCAGTAGCTCTTCTGGCTTACAAATTACCAATTTGTTTGCAGATTGCATCTGTAAAACTTACAATGTGGAAAATTTGTTTATCTATAAAATTCCAATCTCAGCCATCTATAAAAAACTGTCCAAATTAAACGCTAGTAAAGGACCGACCTGATGGTGTACCTCCGTTGTTGATTAAACACTGTAGCTTTCTGATTTCTAGACCTCTATTTTATATTTTCAATCTTTCGTTGAAAAGTGGAACTTTTCCGGAATGTTGGAAAACAAGCTTCATTACTCCAATACTGAAAACTGGAGATCCTTCACAAGTGAAAAATTATAGATCTATCAGTAAACTAAGTTGCATTGGAATGGTATTTGAGAGCCTAGTGTGTGAATTTTTATCCGCAAATTTGAAAAGTAGTTTTATAAGCCAACAGTTTGGATTTCTTTCAAAACGCTCCACAGAATTAAATTCCTTAACATTCACAAACTATGTTTTGGAATCCTTGAAGGAAGGTTATTCTGTTGGCGTATTTTATACAAATTTTTCTAAAGCATTCGATAAGGTCAACCATGAGATCTTGATTAATAAGTTACATTGTCTAGGAATTTTCGGGGATCTTTTATCATGGCTGAAGTCTTTACCTCACTGACCGAAAACAAATAGTGCATATACAAAGCTTTCAATCAAATGAGGTTAATGTGCCATCTGGAGTACCTCAAGGTTCCCATCTGGGTCCTCTTCTTTTCAATATATACGTGAATGATACTATATACTGTTTTAAGACTGTTAGTTTTCTAATGTTTGCAGATGATTTGAAATTATTCTTAAAAATCAAGTATAATAATGAATGTTTAAATATCCAAAATGATTTGAATTCACTAAGTCTCTGGTGTCAAATGAATAGAATGGAACCTAATGTAGAAAAATGAAACTTAATGGTCTTCAGCCGTAACAGGGACCACATTGATCATACTTATACCATGAAAGGTTGTCCTATAAAGAGTGTATCCCAAGTTAGGTATTTAGGGGTAATTCTTGACCCAAAATTATCTTTTATTACCCATATAAATATGATTGTTTCTAAATCACTTCAACTGTTGGGATTCATAAAACGATGGGCTAAGGATTTTCATAATATTCAGTAATTTAAAATGTTGTTTTGTTCTTTGGTGAGGCCCCATCTGGAGTCTTGTTCTCGTGTTTAGTCACCGAACTGTAATGTTCATATTCAGGAAACTGTGAGAGTGCAACATACATTCTTAAGATTCATGTCATTCAAACAAAACATTATGGTTGAAGATATTATCTATTCCGTCATTGAAAGCTCTCTCAATATCCCAACCCTTCAGATAAGACGAAATCGGAGGGACCTGTCACTATTTTGTAATATTTTGCACTCTCTTAGTCTTGCTCCAGAACTTTTGAAAAATATCAATCTCCATGTGCCTTCTCGTCAAACAAGACTGAATCAACCATTCCATGTGAGATCATTTCGTACTAATTATGCTAGTAATTCCATCTTGTGTAGATCTTCAAGGTTAGCAAATCAGTATTCTAATAAGTTGGATTTCTTCAGAAGTCGGAAAACATTCAAAATTCAATTAGATTCCTGTCTGTAATATTTAATATTTGATTTCCCCATATATTCAAATTTTAATTAAATTCGTTTCAATTAGAAATGATCTGGATTGTAAACTGTTTGTAATTGTTTTAAGTATTAAATATCTGTACTTTAATTGGGCACTCGCTCGTTGATAAATACTTAAATAAACAAATAAACTTTTGTCAATAGGTATTTTATTTCATATTTTTATTTTCCACGCCGCTGATTGTTGAATACTGTATTCAATTTTGCATGGATCACCCCTCTTCAGGAATTTTTGTCTGATATCTCCTTTTGGAGAAAAATTGATTTGAATGTTTGAGGTAAAATTAGGTTCAACTTTAAAAATAGCTGGAGTGTTTGATATTGGAAATCGTATGTAGTACCTATGTTGGAAGAAGTACGTTTACGCAGTGGCGTGTACAAAACCATGCCTATTGGTCATTTTAGAATATATATTTCTACCAACCATTTTCACCCTGTATATTTATTCTTTCAAAACCACCCACCTTACAAATTTGGTGACTATGTGACCAATAAATGTAAACTGTTTTTAAAGAATTGTAACGATTGGCTCAAAATTTTTTTTTAAATCGTCTCAGTCCTATTACTTTCCGGACAAACCCTGTATAAAGCCTTCATCTGAACATGCATGTGCCTAATCTGTGGTCTACTGCATTTGACTATCATTCTGTTAGAGGCCAACATTTTATTACGATATTGGATGAATCCTACTTCATGCTCGTAGTCTAAACATCAGATGGCATTTGTGCATAGGTTTGTAGGTGGTGAGCTGAACGCATGTTACAATGCAGTCGACAGGCATATCGACGGTGGAAGGGGGTCGAAAATAGCCTTGATACACGATTCGCCGCTTTTAGGATCTGTTAGGAAAATTACGTACTTCGAACTTCACGAAAAGGTATGTATGAATATATGTAGAAGTCGACCGATATAGAATTTTTGCCGACACCGATGATCGGCCGATATCGTTATATCATATATACAGGGTGTCCCGAAAAAAAGTGTGCAATATTCTACTAGCGGTTTCTAGAGCTTAAAATAGGAAGAAAAGTTTATATAAACATAGATCGACAAACCTCCCCTAAGGGCGCTACGGTCTTTTAAAGGGGCTCCCCTGAACATGGTTTTTCCTTAATATTTCCGAAACGTGTTGAGATAAAGACATAAAATTTGGTATTCTATACTATAACTATCTAAAACTGTAATGACTCATCGATGTTCACGTGAACATCACTTAACTACCAGTAGTCGGCTGTTCATAGGCGGGGTATGAATGTTTAACATGGGTGAACTAGATTTGTCACATGCTTAATAAAGAGTGGTTTGACACATATTGTAAGTCAAAAATTTGGGAATTACCTTTATTCATCGTCGCTTCCACTTACATCTGACAGTAATAAACTGTCGCTATCGCTTTCCTCGTTGAAATTGACTATAACTGGCTCTATGATGGTGTCGATGTGGTGGTCAACCTGCCACATTTTTTATTCTTCGGGCGTTACTAGCTGTATGGAAGTCTCAAGTAAAACCTTAACGTCTGGTAATTTGAAGGTTGTGTTATGGCGCGCAATATAACCCTTCACTTGAGCCCACATGAGCTCTATTGGGTTCAGTTCACAGTGGTAGGGCGGTAACCGCAGCACAGTGACACCACATTGACGCGCCATCTCATCAGTCACGTAACTAATGTTCGCAGGTTTGTGCTGTTTTTTCATACAATTCCGCTTTCACACATGAATCGTCAAACGGGATTCCTTTTTCGCGCAACCATTGCTGCATGTCACTTTTTCGAGATCCCATAGTCGGTACACGTTCGGCTCGACGACTATGGTTGGAAGCATTATCCATGACGATCAAAGAGTTGGGCTCAACTCGCTGAAGCACCCCTTGAAACCAGCTCTCGAAGCAGCTGGAATTCATTTCGTCATGGTAATCACCTCCTTTCTTAGAGACGAAAATCAAGTCACACTCTTCTAAAAAGCCACTATCGCTACCAATATGAGTTACGATCAATCTTTAACCTTTCCCTGACGGTCCACGAAGACCTGTTGACAAATCTTCAATGCTTGCTTGTCGGTTACTAACTACGTTTTTGTCTATCCAGGTTTTTTTAACTGTGTGACCTGCATTTACCCATGTCTCGTCCAAATAATAGATTTTTCTGCTTTGTCGCCTATATTCAATCATTTCGCGTAGGTATTTTCGACGCCAGGCGACTATTTCAGGTCTCTCTATCAATACTGACTTCCGATTACGCGTTTTGTAACGAAAATTAATTTCGTGCAGGGATTTCCTCATTACCTCGACGCTCATTTGGGGTATAATTTCATTTTCCTTGATCGCTGCATGTACAGCCTTGAGGGTTGGTATCTCATTCCTAAAGAAGAATGAATGTACGGTTCGCCTTAACGCCATTTTGCTATCGTCATCCAATTTAACGGCCTTTCGTCCCTTCAAATTAAACTTTGGATCAGTAGTAGCTCCAGTTTTCTTCTTTTCATGTACCACCCTGCGAATGGTCCACTCTGGAACGCCTGTCATACTTTCACAACGCGCGAGTGCATCTCCCTGCGACATAGTTCTGTTCAGATAATTGAACACGTTGAGCACGATTTCTTTCGCGTCCCTCTTCAGTGCTTTACGAAGCCGTCTACTTGTTCGCTGGCTTTCAGTACTTCCACTCGTGCCATTTGTGCTCTCCATGGTTAAGTATAACCAAAACAGTAACCACAGAAACCACAACAATAACAATCATACAACAATTCTTATAAAAACACACAATATGCGATCGCCCAACGAAACACGTTCCAATGCGTTGCCGACGCCTATGAGTCTGCCGGTCGAGGCGCGTCTTTGATTTCATTGGTTCTACCGGCGGAGAACAATCAGCCATTATTTGCATCTCTGTCTGTGCTGTTGACCAGCGCAAAGCCACAGAAACGACATATGTCGTACGCTATACGGCTGTACTGGAAGGAAGCCGGGATCGAGCTCTGATCACGTGTTGATCACGCGTATGAGTCATTACAGTTTTAAATAGTTGTAGTATAGCCTAGTTTTTTCTGCTGGATTTAAAAATATTAACAATTTTAGACAGCTTAGTTTGGAAGCGTCTGTAAAAGGAACGGGCTCAGGTTATTTTAGCCCCAAAACTTTTGTCTGATTCTGTTTTTGAAATTCAATTCTAGAATTTGAAAATATTCGTATATCATTAAGGAACACCCTGTATATCGCAGATGTGCCCGAAGCAGAATCAATAAATAAAGCTTACTAGTAAATAAATTAAAATGCTCTAAGGCTACCTTAATGCGTTTTTTCTTACTCTTTTGCTATCAAAATTAACAATTTTGATCATGACCTTGTACAGGTCAAAGACAACCAAACAACTTCGACTTTGCCGTGCTCTTGCAAAGCAATGCATTTTTTTTTTAATTGTAGAACAACCGTGTCAGTTCTATTTCAATGCCAGCGTATAAAAATGAGCTTGCCCTTCAATTGACCTTGTAAAGATAATGGCCAAGATTAACGTAACACCTTTAAACACTTAACGGTTTTTGAATAAAAAATTTTCACCTGTATTACAATAACAGTATTTGATCTAAGAATTACAACAACACATTCACCATTTTTGTAAATCCGGCACACTCGCAATTTTCTCGAAACTAATCATAGGAAACTTTGTTCAGGAAACTGAGAAATATATCAGACTCACTTTTCAGTCAAATCGAGTAGGACACAATCTCCTTGTGTTTGGTACGGGGTCCTGAAACCAGGTATTGTGAAATTGTGGAAACGCAGAATATGCAGTCCTGAGCTGTTACAAGCAACTTCAGCTCCTCCTTTGAAGAAATCGGTTTCGTGAAATATGTTACTCCAGTAGCAATGCACACTTGGTCTGATTTGGCAGCACCAAGCTCAAAATGTATCAGTAGCGGAACATAAAGATCAACACTCGTATTTGGGGGGTTTTCAAAGGGGCCACCGAGATCCCTATTCCATGTTTATTTTCTGTCTCAACACCATCCGTACATGGAAAAACGGGGACAAATATTTGCTACTGGACTTTGATCCACGTATACCCGTAGTTGTTTCCTCAAACCATCTTCAGTTGAATTTGTAATGAAGCATTAACCAATTAATATTTATCAATTTTGTGCCTTGTACCTATCAATAACATCCCATGTTCCTTTTTTCAACAGCCTGTATTCTTAATACTTTTTGTCTGATTGTATCATAGTGTGTAAAGAGATGACTGAGACTTGATATCAGTTTTTTTTTATAAAAAACTCATGTTTGTTCACTTTTCCACTTTTTCGTCAATCGTGACTGGTATGTGAAATAATCAGATGCAAAGGTCTTTGATCCAAACAAGCAGTGGAAAAAAGGACATACGACCTTAATTAAGGTACTCAATACAAAACAAATAATTCCAGATGAATGTTTTTCCAGGTTTCTAAGTTGGCTGGTTTACTAGTAAGGCTAGGAGTAGGTAAAGGAGATAGAGTTGTGATATACATGCCACTTATCCCAGAAACAATAATAGCAATGTTAGCAGTCGTTAGAATAGGAGCTGTTCATTCAGTAGTATTTGGCGGTAAGTATTGTCGAAACAACACATGTATGAGAACTGGAGTTAGGGTTGCCATTCCATATAATACAAAAACCGGACTCGTCGCTGTATTTTGCCGGAAATTTATCCTCAAAGTTGAACGTTATCTTCCTTGATAGCCAAAGACAACTTTTATAACGCTTGATGAACATGTACGAGCCCCTTCCCACTTCAGTAGGCCCACTTCAAGATTTGTACCAAAATATGCCTTTATGAACTAAACATGACGAAACTATTTACTTCTAAAACAATTTATTTTCTCAAAAACATTTTAGATACTAAACAACACATATTTGAAATCACTTAGACCTATAACTAATAGAACATCTTTCAAAAAAAATGAAGCATTCCATGTTGACTGTCTGAAGAGAAAAGTGAAATTTCCAGCATCCATTATTATCTGGGTCAGTATGTCATCAAAACGAGTAGGAAAACTTCATTTTATTGATGGAAATGTGGATACAAACAAATATTTGGCAATTTTAGAAGAATCGCTTTTACCAGTGATGGAAGAATGTTTGACATCCGGCCAAGATGTTGTGTTTCAGCAAGATGGTACAGCGTGACATACCTCAAAAAAGGCTATAAAATGGATGGAAGAAAATAATGTACCACTTTTGAAATGGGTTTCTAGTAGTCTAGATCTGTCACCTATTGAAACTTTGTGGCACGAGATGAAAAAGGTTCTACGACAACATCCTGCTCGTAGAATCACCGAACTGAGACTGAAGCTTCAAGAAATATGGGATTGTTTTACACCAAATTTCTGCCAAAACTGGGTTAACACTATGCCCCAAATAATTTCAGCCGTAATAAAAAATAAAGGTGATGTTACCCAATGGCAATCTTTCAATTGTTGTTTTGTTAACTTCGCGCATTTATTCGCACATTGTTTATTTGTTCAGATGTTCTATTAGTTATGGGTCTAAGTGATTTCAAATATGTATTGTTTACGATTAGAGTGTGAAATGTTTTTGAGAAAATAAATTGTTTTAGAAGTGAATAGTTTCGTCATGTTTAGTTTATAAAGGCATATTTTGGTACAAATCTTGAAGTGGGCCAACTGAAGCGTGAAGGGGCTCGTATATGTATGTGTGAACATTACATGACAAAGCTACATTTTCTTTGTCTAACGGGTGATTTTTTTAAGAGGTATAGGATTTGATTTTCAAAAAAAACAAAAAATTTGAAAAAACGATTAATTCTTTATTTGAGTCGATAGAACGGTCGATATAATTTAATGTTTTAAGATTATTTCATGTAAATGTTGGCCGCGGCTCCGCTTTAGATGGCCCATGCGCAAGGTCCAATTTTGGCACACTCTCTCTAACATATCGACCGGTATCTCACGAATAAATGCTTCAATATTGGCTTCCAGTGCGTTAATCGTTGCTGGTTTATCCCTGTAGACATTAGCCTTAACATGGAAGAAATAGTCCAACGGCGTTAAATCACACGATGTAGGCAGCCAATTGACGGGCCCCAAACGTGAGATAAACTGTTCACCGAACTCGCCTCTCAATAGGGCCATTGTTTCGTGTGCAGTGTGGCATGTGGCACCGTCTTGTTGAAACCACATGTCAGCCAAGTGCAGCTCTTCCATTTTGGGCAAAAAAAGTTTGTTATCATCGCACGGTAGCGCTCGCCATTCACAGTTCCGTTCCGGCCATTGTCGTCTTTGAAGAAGTACGGCCCGATGATGCCACCGGCCCATAATCCACACCAAACAGTGATTTTTTCGGGATGCATTGGTAGCTCTTGCAATGCTTCTGGCTGGTCTTCACTCCAGATGTGGCAATTTTGCTTGTTAACGTACCCATTCAACCAGAAATGAGCTTCGTCGCTGAACACAATTTTTCGATAAGAATGTGGACCTTCCTCCATATTTGCCAGCGCCCATTCACCAAATGGGAAACATTGTGGGAGGTCGTGTGGCTTCAATTCTTGCACCAGCTGTATCTTATAAGGTTTTACACCCAAATCCTGTCGCAAAATTTTCCACGTAGTGGAGTAACAGAGGCCCAATTGCTGCGAACGGCGGCGAATTTACATTTCACGGTCATCACTAACACTGGCGGATACAGCCGCAATATTTCCTTCAGTCCTCACTCTACGTCTGCGTGTTGGTGGTTTAATGTCCAATAATATAAACTGGGTTCGAAATTTAGTCACAAGCTTCCAAATAGCTCCCTCAGTAGGCCGACCAAATTGCCCATAAATTGGAAGCAGTGCTCGATTTTGATAGTAAAATTCAATAATTTGCAAGCGTTGTTCGTTCGTAAGTCGATTCATGGTTAAATTATAGACCAAACTGAACAAGTTTGACAATGACACAAGACACGATTTACGCGTCATCTGTCAAAAACATTGTTGCCAAAAAGATACTAGCAAAAAGATCACCCATTATTAATCATACTTATTCATAATTTCTTTACTTTGTACTTACAGCGCCTTTCACTTTATGTGTTTTTTTACTATGTATCGCTCTCTAAATTTTAACCGTACTGATAAGGCAATAAATGCTTTATTATGATTACTATGTTTAATTATAGACACTATAGTACCTCATCATCTCTCGGACTATCTCGTAGATGCGTAAATACTGTCATTTGCCAGCAGCACACCCTAATGAATATATTGCTTGCGAACAGTAGAACGCATTTACATAAACAATAGTTCAATAGTTCCGCATTGATAATAACCTGCTCGATAATTTGGATGTCATTGCCATCGAATATAACTGTTTATGTATATATGAATTTTTGACATAAATCACAATGGTTGCGTTTTAACAATCGTTTTTTGAATGAGTTCCGCGGAGAGAGGTCACCTAGTCGAAAAATTACGGAACATTGTTAATTTTCTTTCCGTATGTGTAAAAGGTGTCACTAGCATCTCTTGGAAGCAATATTTGGATAACTGCCTTTAATGATTTTTTTAAGCCAGCCCATTCGCTATATATTTCTTGACTACTAAATTTGATTTAAAATACTTTTCATCCATTGAACAGATGGATGAAGGTAGCTTCTATTTCAGACCTCAGACTTTTATATAACATAAAAACAGTTTTACACATAAACTTAATAATTTGATAACATATCCTACAAGTACTAAGGTCACTTGCTCCACTGTCAACGATATCAAAAGACATGTGGAATAGAGTCTGTTTTTTATGATGCCATTACACGGGGTACTACGCATCTTGCAAAGTGACACTATGTCTGCGAAAGGTTGGGAAATCTCGAAACTGGAGATACTGCAGACCAAAATATGTGCATTGACCTAAACATACCTTGGTCCAAAAGCAGGTAGTTTGCAAGATACAGGGTGTCAAAGTTACAATTTTATTTTCTATTTTTCCTTATTGCGTGAGAAGTATTCCAGATTTTAGCATAACACTCATTATAGGGAGGTTTTCTAGTATCAGAAACAAGAATCCGTTACTTTTTATGGCCAAACTCCTTGGGGGCGCCACTTACAGCACTAATTCGGTAAATAACTTATCATAACTACCCTGTATACAACAACCGACAGAAAAATGTTATTTTCTCGTATTCCACAACAAAAAACGTTTACTTGTTACAAGTGTCTAAAGCTAATAGTTTTCGAGATAATTCCAATGACAATATTATACAGGGTGGCGCATTGAAAACGAAACAGACGCATTTACTGGCAGCTCTGTTTTTTTTTTGAAAAACGCTCTGACCCGCCGATTTTGTTTACGAGGGGGACACAAGTCTGGCAAAAAATCACGTTAACACGTGCAGCCCCCTGGGCGGGGGTGACACCAACCCTAAAATCTTAAATGGAAAGGGAGGTCGAGTTATACCTTATTTTAAAGGTCTTTCTATTCCCTTTATAATGATGTAAAATACATGAGCTTCAGTTCCTGGAGTTTTGAAGATTTATTGATTTAAAGCTTAAAGTAGACTTTAATAGGTACATCAGATTAGTTTGTACTACTTTCAGAAGAAATTTGGCTAAAAGAATTTACTTAATAAGTAAATGCTTTTCTTCACTACGCCCATGGTTTGTATATCATTTTATTGTTGAAAATAGCTATTGAAGCTTTTTTTTGTGGAAAAAAGTTATTTCTTGAGGAAAGATAAGGAAATATCTCGTACTTACTTTAAATAGGAATTTAGTACATAGTTTGCGATTGATTTGACCAAACTTTGTTGCTAAAATAACTTGTAACGCTTTATTAGATAAATTAACCATGGTATATTCCACAGCAGAAAGAGTTGAAATTATCGAAATATTTTTCGTAAATAATCAGTGCGCTAATAGAACAGCAGAAATATTTAATGAGCGACATGGGAACAGTAACGTGCATCGAAAATATGTTCTAGAACTTGTAGCTAAATTTCGGGAAACTGGGTCAGTCGCGAATAAAAACCGCAACATTGAAACAAAAAAAACATAAGGAACGAAGCAATAGAAGTGGGGGTTTTAGGGCAAGTTTATGTAGATCCTACGTTAAGTACCCGCAAATTGGAGACCGTGTGTGGTATTAGTCGACTTACTGTCCAACGGATTCTAAAGGCCCATAGTTTTCATCCGTATAAAATTCACCTGGTACAAGAACTTAATGAAGACGATTTTGATCGGCGATTACAATTTTGTGAAGATATGAGTGAACGAAATGTATTGATCTCCACTAATGATGATGTATTAGTTTTATTTAAGCTTTAAATCAATAAATCTTCAAAACTACTGAACTGAAGTACATTAATCTTATATCATTATAAAGGGAATTGAAAGACCTTTTAAATAAGGTATCACTCGACCCCCTTTCCATTTAAGATTTTGAGGGTGGTGTCACCCCCGCTTAGGGGGCTGCACGTGCTAACGTGATTTTTTGCCAAACTTGTGTCCCCCTCGAAAACAAAATCGACGGGTGTGACAGTTTTTAAAAAAAAATACTGAGCTGCCAGTAAATGCGTCCGTTTCGTTTTAGATACGCCACCCTGTATATACGGTATGATCTTACAAGCGCATTCACCATTTTTGCAACATATGAGAATATCACCTCTTCTAACTTTGAGATATCATGTCATCATCATACCTACATACCACGCATGTTGCAGGTTTTGCAGCTTGTGAGTTATGTGCAAGGATCCAACATGCTGAGCCCAAAGTCATCATAGGTGCCAGTTGTGGTATCGAACCTACCAAAGTAGTCAAGTAAGTATGTTTGAATGCTATTGAATTATAGATTAACATATTCTGATGCTTAGTACTCGGTTTGTTCGTATAGTGGTCGGTGACTGTGTCTGAGATCCGGCCATGTCAATTCCGTCTATATAGCGTAGCATACGCTACCGTTCAAAAGTATTTGCTATACCCAGAAAACAAGGAAACTGACGGAAGTTATCAGAGAAAACATTAAAATGTCTGTATGAATCATTTATTGTTTCAATTCTTAACAACATACAACTATTTATAATCAAAATAATCATATTTTTGACTCATCAATATGTCCTCCTATAAATATAAAGGACTAGCTTTGTTTGTAGTTCAACAAGGCTAAACTATCATAACACTTTTTTTATATGCTGTAGATCAGTTCCCAAGCCATATTTAACAAGGTCCAATCGACAGGATATTATGACAGACAGGCTTTATCCAGTTGTCTCCTTCAAAACATTGATGCTCCTTGAACCTACTGGTATGCTAGTTAGACAGGTGCGACCAACTTGGCTTCTAGGTTATTGGGAGCTTAATACAATTTTCTATGAGGTGCCTCTCATGATTATTTGAACGGTTCTATTGTTAGGAATTGCAAGAATTTAAATGACACCTCAGCATTATCGTCTCTGTATTTCAGTCTAGTAAGATCCAACTAGAATATGGCTCGCTCACATATATATATAGCCAATACATCGTTGCTATTGAAAAAGTACAAAGGAAATTTTTGAAATGCATAGCTTTTACAATCGATGGTGTGTATCCACCAAGAGGCTGTGGTCATCCTGAGCTACCACATAGATTTGATTATCAGTCTTTGGAGAACCGTAGATATCAGTTATCTGTACTTTTCTTGCACAAGCTTTTCAATGGAAAAGTAGATTGTCCTGTATTGTTAGCTCAAGTAGATATTCCGGTTCCTAGAATAACATCTAGACAACTAAATACTTTCCTATGCAAAAGAGCTCAAACTAACTTACTATTAAAGGCTCCGATTAATTTTATGTGCCGAAATGCCAATAAAATTTCAAGTGCATGCGATATTTTTCACTGCGGTGTCTGTGAATTAAAGAATAAATCTCGAGACAGTCTATGTTGGATTTTGGTGAAGTTTCTAATAATAATAATAAATGGGCTTTAATTCGTACCTAAGTAAAAGTACAAAAAAGGCGAAGTGTCGCTAAGATTAGCGTTTTTCAACTTAACCTTTGAAAGAACAAAAAAATATATATGATAAAACATTCCACCAATAAAAATGTATACATAATTCTCAATAATTACTAAATAATTAACAACACAAAAAAAACAGAACAATTACAAGAATAGTCCATATTTATAGCATTTTGTATTCACCATCAGACCTCGATTTGTAGTTTTAGTTCGAGCTTCTTTTTAAATAATCCATAGTTTTGGAATGTAACAGGCAGATTATTATATAATTTAAAAGCGTTGTAGCTGCATGATTTTTTGTAGTCAGCCTTAGAATGTAAGGGTATCACTAACATATTTCTATTCCTTGTATTCAGTTGATTTATGTCACTACATCATGTTAACTTATTATGCAAATATTGTGGTTGTTTGGTAGCTAAGACCTTATGTGTGAGTGTCAAGTGAAGTTTTTGCATGCCTTTAATCTGCAGTATACCAAGTACCTTAAATTTATAAGAAATAGGATCAAACTTTCGTATTCCGCAAGAAAGTCTGACGCACGGATTCTGAATACCCTGTAATTTGCTTCGTTCACTATATACTGTCACAATAACTGATCTTTGATATAATGTTTCACACAGTTTCAGCTTTACTGAAGTAGATATTATTTGCTTATTGTAGATAAAACTCCTTCAAAATGCATTATGATGCACTACATAACGAATTTACGTGTTTTTTTGTATATTAGTTCTGTGTCAATCCAGAGTCAGAGGTTTTTACACTCATTCATTATAGGAAGCCGGCAATTATAGATTTTCCGTTTCGATCAATGTTCTTTTGTTTTTTGAGCCGAAAGCCATAACTGATGATTTAGATGGAATAATTGTTAGGTTATGCGAGCACGAGACGTCTACTAGCCTTGTTAAGTGTTCGTTGAGCAATGCGTCTGCTATTCTAAGGTCTTCGTGTTGAAAACTAAAATAAATTTGAGCATCATCGGCATAGTAATGGATTGTGCAATTATCGACATATTGATGAAAATCCGATATATATAGAGAGAAAAGTAAAGGTCCCAATATGGAACCTTGAGGAACACCAAACTTTATAGCATGACATTTTCGAAGCTGTTAGGACCTTTTGATTTCTATTTGACAAATAGCCGCTTATCAAATTAACTGCAGCGTCAGTAAAACCATATAAGGACAGCTTAAGTAGCAGAATCTCAGGGTCTATCATATCGAAAGCTTCTGTGTAATCCAGCAGAACTAAACAAGTGATATTTCCTTGATCAATGCCTCTTATAACATCTTCAGTGACATTGGCTAGGGCAGTTGTTGTACTATGGTTTTTCCTGAATCCAGACTGCGTTGATGGAACTATTTCATTACTGAAAATATACTGAGATATTTGTATCTCCATTCCCCTTTCCAAAAGCTTCGAAAATGCGGGAAGTAAGCTGACTGGTCTAGTTGGGTTACAGACGTGTGAATCGTTACTTTAGGATAGGTATGACGATAGCCTGCTTCCAAGAATCAGGGAAACAGGATGTTGATATTGCGTGATTGATGATAAATGCAATATGGTCGAAGAGCAAAGTGAAAATGTATTTTATCATAATGAGTGAGATTCCATCAGCCCCTACAGCATTAGTTTTAATAGATGAGAAACTCTTCGCAACATATTCTTTGGCAACGCTTTGGAAACAGAATGACTTGGGAAAATTATTGTTTTGCTATTTGTTCAGTAGTTCTAATTGCTTTTGTGTCTTGATTATGATCGGAATGCTTGAGAAATGTGAATTTATTTTATCTGCGTCATTGAAGCTATCTGGAAGAATATTTATAGAGGTCTCAAGAGAACTCCATATTGCTTTACTGTTCCTAACAGATAGGATATATTCCATATCAGCCTTTTCCTCTCTCCGAAGAGCAGCAGCAGCATAATTACGGAGTTCTTTATAATAGTTTTTAATGTTTCTATTTCTGTTTTTTATCTTTTTGTTTTCTAAGATATTTTCATTTTGTGCTGTAACTACCATGTAAGCTATACTACTGCTTTTTGCTCTGTAAATGGTATTCACTGTTGGGCAATAAACGCATTATTATTATAACATTTATTCATTATCTGTTAGAGATCTGTTCTTTACTCATAATAAACGAGCATTTTTACAACAAGTATGTTACTCCGATAGATAGGCTTCTATGTTACTGGGAGCTTAATACAGTTTTCTATGAGTTGCTTCCCATGATTATTTAAACATTTTTTGGAGAATAAATATCGCACACAGAGTCCAAGAGCTAGTAACACACGTTCCATGAAGTGTTTGATGAAAGTTAAGATTTTGTGTTGTAGTATCCATTGGATAGACGAGCAGGTAAGCAAGTCTTGGCTTGCCCTACCTGGAGACACCAGGTACTGCGCTTAAGAGAAAGGTGTACGGTTGTACAAGAACACGTGACCAACTGCCAATGAGGGCGCAGAGAAAGACCGTAGCTACGGTGCTGTCGCTCACATCCACGACTACTTGCTGTCTGTGTCTCTCTTTTAAAATTAATATTTATTTTCATGTGTTCCAATCACTGATCAACAGCCAAAAAATATCCTAAATAAAATGAACACAATATTACTATTTTTAATGTGCTAAAACCGGAATGAAACTTATTTTTTCAATATTAGTTCAAGTTTTAGAGATACGGTAATTATATGTGTTCCTGCTGTGTTAATATACTGTAATTCACAAGAATGCACCTGCTACATTTTTATATTCGGCAAGGAAAGATGATGTAATCGGCATGATTGTGTTACGTTATACATACGTGTACATTATATTGTTTTATATTAGCAATTTTTTCCTCAGTTGGCTGACAGCGTTCATGCAAGATGTCTCGAAAGTGTGTAAACAATCCAGATCAGTTTTGTTACGTGTGTGGTGATGCGACTTTTGCGTCTCAGAGACGGTCTATTACTCCACTAATAACAAAGGCATATCAGCTTTATTTCGGTTGTAAACTAGGTGATCAAGATAAACAGTGGGCACCCCACATCTGTAATACATGTGCTTCAAGTCTGAGGAGCTGGTTAAATGGCAAAAAACGGTCTATGCGCTTTGCTGTCCCAATAATTTGGAGAGAGCCTACAACTCATATTAATGATTGTTACTTTTGCATGGTACCTTGTGTTGGACAAGCCACAGGTATGTCCAAGGAAAAAAAACGGTTTTTAACTACCCAAACATACCATCTGCGATGAGACCTGTGCCTCACAGTGACGAAAATCCTATTCCAAAACCCCCAGAATCCTACACTTGCGAATCAGAAAACGAATCAGATCATGGCGATCGAGTGATTCGTCAGGAAGAAGACATGCCATCAACGTCAAGAGATCCTGATTTTATACCGAGCACGTCATGCCACCAACCGCACAAAATAACACAGTCAGAATTAAATGATCTTGTAAGAGATTTAGAACTTCCAAAATGTAAGGCAGAGTTACTTGGATCAAGACTGCAGCAGTGGAACTTGTTAGAAGACGATGTTTCGCTATGTGTTTTTCGTAAACGCCACAAAGACTTAGAACCATTTTTCAATATGGATAATAACTTGGTTTTCTGCAGTAACATTAACGGCTTACTGGCGGCTTTAAATATAAACTATAACCCAGAAGAATGGAGATTGTTTATAGACAGTTCAACATTGAGCTTAAAGGCAGTGTTATTGCATATTGGAAATATTTTACCATCTCTTCCTGTAGGGTATGCAGTTTACATGAAAGAATCATATGACAATATAAAGTACCTATTGACATGCATAAAATACGATGAGCACCAACGGCATATTTGTGGCGATTTG